AGCACCCCCCGCCCACCCCGCCCCCCGCCCCGAGCGGCTGCCGGCACCGCGCAGCGACCGTGCCCTGGCCTGGCTGCACCTCCAGAGCCCCAGGTGTGCCCGTGCCCCCCGTCCCTGCAGCCAGTGCCCGGTCCCCTCCACCGCAGCCCTCCCGTAGCCCGGATTTCACTTCTATGGCAAAGCCGGCCCTGCAGGAATTGGGTAAGTGGAGCTATTGCAACACAGCATTTTTCCATACATTTGCTATATAACTCGGAGGGTTTTAAAGATAGCATCAGTTGGCACACTTAGCACGAAACCACCTAATTACTGACGCCTTGGAAGTGCCAAACTTTTAAAGGGGGGAGGTGAGGTTAAAATCACAGGCGACCAACAAGTGTTACCTGTTTTTAAAGTATTCCAAGCGCTGTTCTCCACGGCAGTCGGGACATGGGGAGGGGGTGGCTCGGGGCAGTGCCATTCCCTCTGTCACCGTTGCCACCACACCGAGGGGCTGGAGGCTTCTGAAGCCCCCCCACCCTGACCTTCTCCTTCCTACCAAACTCCACTGCCTGGCGCTGTGGCTTTCCCCGCACAGCTCCCATCCGTTCCTGCGCCAGCCCCGGCTGCGGGATGGGGTTTGTGGCCGGTCCCGGTCTCCACTGGAGGAAAAAACCTCCCGGTATGAGCCTGGCTCTGAGCAGCCCCGGGGGCGGCCGCAGGGTCAGGCACGCCGGGGGCTGACTGTCCCCGCTCCCCCGCTGCTTCCCGGGAGGAATGATCCGGGCTGGAAAGGCTGGAGCCTGCCCTCCGCACGGGGACGGCACCGCTCGACTCGGGGAGTGCAGCGCAGAGGGGGAGACCCCCGGTCCGGTGCACTGTGCCAGGTGCCCTGTGCAGGGTGCCCTGCGCCCAATGCCCGGTGCAGGATGGCTGATGCACGGCCGGTCCACTGCGCTCGGTGACAAATGCAGGATGCCCGGCGCCCTGCGCGGGGCTCCCGGTGCCCATTCCCCGGTGCCCGGTGCTCGGGGCAGGATGCCCGGTACCCCTTTTCCGGCGCAGCGTGCCTGGTACCGGTGCAGGATACCCAGTGCTTGGTGCAGGAAGCCCGGTACCCCTTATCCAGTGCGGGATGTCCAGGTTCCGGTCCCCATTCCCCGGTGCAAGATGCAGGGTACCGGGTACCCCTTTCCCCGGTGTGCACCCCGGGTGCAGCATGCCTGGTGACCGGTCCCCTTTGCCCGGCGTCCTGCGCCCTGTCCCCCTTGCCCGGTGCATGATGCCCCGTTCCCGGTCCCCTAGCCCGGCATCCGGTGCCCGGTCCCCCTGGGCTGGTACAGGGTCTCGGGTCCCCCTCTCCCGGTCCCCTGTCCCCCGTCCCCGCGCGCGCCGGCCCCGCTTCCTGCTCTCTCCAACGTTCCATTGTGCGGAGCTTCCATTGTGACGTCTCGGCCTCGGCTCGGCTTTGTCTGTCCATATATGGGCAGCTACGTCACGGAGCGCTCCCGCATAAAGGCCCCGCGGAGTCCCCGGCGGAGCAGTCGGGCGGCAGCGAAGGAACCGGCGAGCGGAGCGGGGCCGAGCGCGGGGGGAGCGGGGCCGGGGCTGGGAGCCGGCGAGAGAGACAGAGAGAGAGAGGAGGGGTTAAATCCCCCCCCCCCCCCACCCCCCAGCTTCTACAACCACATCTGCCAGCCAGATCGCCCCCTCCCCCTCGAGGAAACACCACCAAGGGACCCACGGAGGACCGCGCCCCCCCGCGCCCCCTCCTCCGCGGCCCCCCCCAGCCCCCCCCGCCTCCTCCTCCTCCCCCCCGCCGCCCCCGCCCCAACTTTTCTTCTTGCATGATTTCCCTCGCACGGATTTGCTACTCGGATGTTGTTTCCTCGGGAGCTGAGCTCGGAGCCACGTTGAACCAGCCTTTTCCTCCAGTGCTATGACAGGCAAACTACTGGAGAAGCTGCCGGGGACCATGAACACTTTGATGAACCAATTGCCTGACAATCTGTACCCAGAGGAGATCCCCAACTCTTTGAATATCTTCTCCAGCACCAGCGACTCGGTGGCTCACTACAACCAGATGGCTGCAGGTAAAGGAGTGGGGGGGGGGGGAAGGAAAAGGGGGAAAAGGCAGGAGCGGGGGGGGAGCCGGTGGGGCGAGGAGGATGCTGTGGGTAGGGTGTCATGGAGCCTCGGAGGGAAGGGAAGAGCTGGGGCTGGGGAGCTTCCCCCCCCCGCACCCACCCACCCCTTTCCTCGCCGTGTCTCCGCGCGATCGCTGCAGGGCTCCGCCGAGCGCTGCCGCCGCCGAGCCGCCGCCGCAGGTACGGGGACGGCGGCCGGGCTCCGTGGGGAGGAGAACCCGGGTGGAAAAGCCGGAGAGGCCGAAGGGACGAGGGGAAGGCCGGGCACCCCCGTGCCGCGCAGGGGCCGCCCGCCCGCGCCGGGATCCGCGCGGGTGCGGAGGCGCCGCGGACGCGCGTGGCCGTGGCAGCCGCCCCCCCACACCCCGCAGCGGCGGCGGCGGCAGCGTGGGCTCCCCGGGACGCGGCGCCGACTTTCCCGGAGCGCGGGGTTGGGGGAAACGGGGGGAGGACAGGAGAGGGGGAGGATCTGGGGGGCACAGGTGAGCGCCGAGGGCGGCGGGGGCGGGTGCTCCCCGCGTGTCCCCGCTCCCGCTCGGAACCCCGCCAGGCTAA